CGGCCCCTGCAGCCCTTCCCCGGGGCAGCGGGGACTGGGGAAACTCGCCCGCCCGCGGTTTTCACTGCGTCGGTGCTGCGGGGAGAAACTCTTTTATCTTTACGTGCTGAAATAGCCGCGAAACCTCTCCGCAGATGAGAGGCCCGCTCAGAGCCTTTGAGCGCTTTACGGTTTCTTACATCTATTTTTGGCCAGCAGAGCGCTGGTCTTTGGGCAGAAGCGGCCAAGGGGCCAGGCCGGTAACGCCCGGGCCCTCCTGCCCCAGAAAGTTTCAGCAGCTGCTTATCGGGGTTGTGAAACCTTGTTCGCAGGGCAGGGGAGGAGGAAAGCTGGGGCCGGCAATCCCTCCGTGCTGCCCGGCCGTGGTTTTCCCTGGAGGTCTGCCGTCAGTCCAGTGTCGTGTGCAGGCAATGTCGAACTGAAACAGGCTAAAGAGCGAATGTTGACGCGACTTACTGAAAGCTGGTGTGTGTCGATACCGGATATACTTGTGTAGGTCTCTAGCCCGAGTGAGGTGAGAACTCCTGGAATTAAGTCGCTTAGTTACGCGGTTGTGCATCAGCTGCCGCCCCCCCTGGCTCCGTGGCGCCGAGGACACTCGGGGCACCGGGCAGGGTCGGTTGGTGTGGGCTGTGCCCCCCCGTTACGGGCTGCGCCTTTATTCCTGCGGGCTCCGAGAGCCTTCAGCTGGAAGCGAACTGGCAGACTTTTAGTTTCTGTTTGAAACCTTTGTGTAGAGGTGATCCAGCGCTGCTTCTCCATTTATTTTTTTCCCTCTCTTCCCCTAATCTGAAGACAGCTGGATTTCGGGGAGTTGGTTTTTAATCTGGAATCCATCTGAATCAGCTAGAGCGGAAAAACATCTGTGAAACGTCAGGATAAGTTCAGGTTGTAAATTACTGTATGTTTAAAACCAGTTGTATTGACCTTCTCGAATTTTAGAGCTGTAAATTTCAAATGTTGGGGCTGCTGTTTGCATCATGCCACCCTCTTACACCTTGATTTTATCATATTTGCAGCGGTGAGCTCTGAACTGTAGCAGTGGGTTTTGGTGATGCAGGTTCCTCTGTATGTCCCACCGGTAAAGGCATAGCGATACTGCTTTGATATTTAATTTATAAATTATGTTTATTCTCAAAATCAGTATTGAAGGCACCTCTCCAAGACTCTCTAAAGAAGCCAGCGTTTGTTGCAGGCTTTCTAGAGCAGCCCAGCATGTGGGGAAGAGCCGGTCATTACCGAGACCTGCTCGATTTACGGGAGCCTTGTCTTCCCCCAGAGAACAAAAGCACTACAGTGCTCTCTGGAGTCACGTCGTGTTCGTGTGACTTCTGAACGGCAGGAGCTGTTCGTTTTTATGAACAGTTACCCTATGAAGTTGTGAAATTATGAACTGTTTACCTTAAAGGAAAGAAGTTGTATTTATATGATTGCCAGGTGATGTGTACAGTGGAGAATAGAAATAATTATTTCAAAACCCAGTTATTAGAGGACTTGCAGAATAGAGCATTTAGCATGACGCCCCAGTCACTTGACTAGCTGAACTCCTAGGGAAATGTGAGCTGTTACCTCACGCGTTGATGCTGCTGGGGATAGGGGTGTAGATTTTTTACCTTTCTGTCAAGAATTTGACCCCACTGTATTACTGATGGTTTATCAATGTATGTGTTGAAGTGAAAGCAAGTGGTCTGTCTGTTCTCTTTTCAGGCTTTCAGTGGGAAAGAATTCTGGAGGTACAGAGCGGGGTGGGGGCTTTCTTTTTTAATGCCAAACTTATTTGCTGTCGTCTTCTCTGAGGAGTGCCAAAGGGAAATGAGAGGGGCAGTTGCTACAGTGGATTTGGGGATGTTGGTCTCAGACTGTTCTTCATCCAAAATACATACAGAGCTGCGAGCGGTTGTGTTCTGCGTGGGTGTTGTGTCACCCGGAGTCCAGCAGTGTTCTGGCTCCAGCCTGCACATGGGGACGGCTCAACAGAGCTGAGCGCCTCATGCCTGGGCTTCAGGCGTTGAAGGCCGAGCTCAGCTGAGCGCAGCTTGGCGGAGCGGCACGCCGCCGAGTTAGGCTGGACTGGCGTTGGCAGGAGAGGGAGGGCTGGGCAGCTGCCTTGGCAGAGAGATGAAAACGGAGAGGGGGTGAAGATGGAGTCTGAGGGGCAGGAGGAGGCGCCTGCTGTGCGAGCTGTGTGTGGCTGCCCTAAACCTCTGTGGCCCCCCTTGATGCTGCTGAGTTTATTTAGGTGTTGCTGCACGGACTGAGTCTACTGCTGGCAGTAATTCTCTTCTTCACAAAGTTATCACTTAAGCGAGTTCAGCTAGGCGCTGTCTGTTTTAACATATATTTATTTTGCAAGGAAGTTACTGATTTGTATGAAGCAGGAGAATTGGATAAATCTGAACAGAATTCTTTCTTTGAAATAGACTTCTGCTACGCCTGAGCAGGAAGGCTGTATTGGTTCCCTTTCACACCTCAATAGCTGCTTGTGATAGTTTTTTTAGAAAAACCACAATGTGCTCACACAGATGTTATAAACGTGCGACTCCTGTTAACGTGTTTTTAATTGTGATAAGGCTCGTGCGTGGAGCAGGTCTAACTGAGGAGGGTTTATGGGTGAATACATGGGGGCTGGAGCACTTGGGAGACTCTTGGCTGATGGCTCAGGGCCAGGTTCTGCTTGAATCTTCACGGCATGAAGACGGAATGTGTTTGTTCCCGCAGGATCTAGTACTCCAAGCCCGCGGTAACCGCAGCCATGGAGAACGCAGACAGTGCCGAGGAGGAGAAGCCGACTGTCAGCAATGACAGCACGGACAATGGCGCTGAGACGGCGACAGACGAACAGCAGATGGACTTCAGTACGGAAATTATGAGTGTCACTGAGATGGAGCAGTCGCCCGACAGTTCCCCTGACCTGAATGAAGAGGACACACAGGAGAGTGAAATTCCAAATATTGAAAGTTTACAGACCACAGATATTGAGGCTTGCTTCCCTCCAGATTTTGACAAGTTCTGGAAAGTAGTAGAGGACAATCCCCAGGATTTCACAGGATGGGTATATCTACTACAGTATGTAGAGCAGGAGGTTAGTACTTGCCCCTTCTTCCTCAGCCTTCCAGACATAAACAAAGAAAACCAAAAGCAGTCATGGGTGTTCCAGTGACCAGTCTAGAACTGTGCAGCAGGCTTCCAGAGATAATGTTTGCAGACAGTTGCCAGTGTCCTCAGCAGAAATTGCAGAATAAAACCAATTGTTTTTAAGACCCTGTTAAAACAGTAACTGTTTTCAAAACTGTGATTTTTTTAAATTTTTTTTTAAAGGATTCATTGCATTTATTGTGTATTTCTTGCAGAACCACTTACCAGCTGCCAGGAAAGCATTTGACAGGTTTTTCACGCATTATCCTTATTGCTATGGGTACTGGAAAAAGTATGCAGACCTTGAAAAGCGGCACGACAACGTTAAACAGTCTGATGAGGTATGTAGGTAGCTGGGCGCAGCTGTTGCCACCGGTCCTGTTGGCCAAATAATGACTAACCTACTGCGAGTCATTTGGCTGCCAGTACCTGCCATGTATGGTCAGGTTTGTAGGGATTTTGTTTGCACTTGTCACGTCTGTGGCATTTGTAGCTAATGTTTTTTCTCTTTGTTGGCAGGTGCGTTAAACCTCTACAGTTTGTCAAGCTTTGCAGTGCAAGCCTCTGTATTACACTGCAGCTTAACAAGTAGGGCAGGGCTTTTCTGTCACTTACATTTATTACTCATTTTCAAAACAATATAGTTGGTTTGCTGGTCACAATTGCTACATCTTATTGCATTTTTGGTCAGACGCTGTCAATGATGCTCTAATGGGTCTGTGCCCTATGGTCTGTACCCCAAAGCCTGCCCACACAACCTGGTCAGAATGCAGGGACCGCTGCGCTTTGAAGATCAAGACTCTGCACGTGGAGATCAGAACATTGCCATGTTCTATCCAACCTCCACCCAAATGGTAATGGTAGATTATTTAAACAAAATTCCAGTAATTAGTATTTCTAAGGTTCACCGGATAACACAGTGTTGCCTCTCTATTAGGACGCCATTAAGTATTTGAAGTACAGTTCATGTTCTCTTCATAGGTTTATCGCAGAGGGCTTCAGGCTATTCCTCTTAGTGTTGATCTTTGGATACATTATATAAACTTCTTAAAGGAGACCTTGGACCCTGCTGATCCCGAAACTAACAGTACGATTCGAGGGTAAGTTGGGAGCAGACTAAGCCCCTGCGTACGGCTGGGTGGCAGTGTGACCAGGTTACTGTGTTTAAGCTAAGGGGCCAGCTAATGACAGCCTGCAGTTGCCTGAAGGACTTCTAAGAGGCAGTGGAGCCAGATTCCATAAGAAAGGGCAGATGATACAGTGGGGTGGAAGGGTTAAAAGCTGTGACTTGAGAGCTTCAGCCTAGACTTTAGGAAATAGCGCAGCACTGAAACAGGTTCGCTGTAGGGTTTTTGGAATTTAGTTCCTTGTGGGTTTTCGAGGTATGGCCAGATCGGGTCCTCAGCTGTTGCTGCCAGCGGTCCTGCTTGGAGTAAGAGATTGGATGAAAGTCTGATCCAGAACTTTAACTGAAGCAGTTTCTAGCTGCATGGTTGGCGTGTAGCTTTTGTGTGCCAAACTGCTGAAGTAACAGCTTTAGAATCTTTACCAGACAGAAGGGGTAGAGACCATGTGTCTTCCTAAGATCTCGCACCCTGCGAGTGGCTTTTCCTGTTGCCCTTATTTGTTCTGTTGTGGTAGTACCGGAGGGAAAAAAACGTCTGTGAACTTTCTGAATTTCTGGAGATCTTGCTACAGGTATCTAGAAAATACTTTGAAGATTTTTAAATAATGACTATAAGCGTGGTTGCAAATCAATGAAGATGCTCATAATTTTTACATAAGAGCCAAAACTTTTCCTTCTTGTTCTGTCACCGCATCCAGAAACAACTGTAAAATGATTCCATTTTTCAGAGCCTATGAACATGCAGTCTTAGCTGCTGGGACAGACTTCCGTTCCGACAGACTGTGGGAAATGTATATAAACTGGGAAAATGAGCAGGGAAACCTAAGGGAGGTTACATCCATCTACGACCGCATCCTTGGAATCCCAACACAACTCTACAGCCATCACTTCCAGAGGTAAAGAGAAAACAAAGATTTAGTTAATGCTGTGAATTTCTCGGACAGACGCTAAGTTCCTTCTGTAAATGTGAAAATGTTCACTCAGAACAAGAACTGGAAATAGTTACTTAGTTTTAGGTACTTATTTAGGTGCTCATACAGTTTGACTGAGGATTTAAAAGTACTGATACACGCTTTAGGAATTTGGTGTTAGATAAATCACAAACTCTGCTGTGGAATAAAGGAAGGCCTTGGAATTGTGAGGAAGAGGAGAGGGTGTCTTTAAAAAATCAGAATGAGCTGTTTTGAACTTTACTTCCTCATGCAACGCACACGTGTGGTGAAACACTAATTCAGTTGACTAAAGAGAAATGCTTGGTTAAGTTTTAGCTAGTAGAATTCTGCATTAATATGGAGAGGTTGAGAGGGAACCAGAAACTGTGGTTAAATTCCGCACCTGTCTTCCCCATTATTTCTACTGATCTTGGGGTTTTGGAAATGAAACACCTTCCTCTAAAGCTGATCTTGTCCTCTGCCGTCAGTTTTAAGTGGCAAGGGGTCTGTCTTTGCTGGTGAAGGTCATCATCCTTTAATTTCTCTCTGAAACGTGACGCTTTTGCAGCCTGATCCCTAGTGGCAGTTGCATTTTGCACGTACATTGTCAGAAGCTGCGTTCTCAGCGTTGCTCTAGAGGGATAAAGTTTTGCAGGACCCCCGCAGGATCTGTTACTCTGCTTGGGCAGAGCACTGCAGCACCAAACATCAGATTTGTGTGGGCTTGTTCTGAACTGTTCTTAGGTTTAAAGAGCATATACAGAACAACCTACCCCGAGACCTGCTGACCACCGAGCAGTTTGTTCAGCTGCGCAGAGAACTGGCGTCTGTGAACGGCCACAGCGGGGAGGACGCGCAGCCTGGCGACGACCTGCCCTCCGGCACCGAGGACATCACCGACCCTGCCAAGGTACGCGCCCGGGGGGCTTGGGGGGCGTTTCTGTCCTGGCTCTGGCTGAAAGCTGAGCTGCTCTGCAGGCAGCTCAGTGTGGCAGAGCTGCCCCCATAGTTCTCTGGTGTATCGGTGCTCTGCAGCTCACCTGGTGACTGCTTCTGTGGACAGGACGTTCCTTTACGGTGTTTTTAGGTGTGAAAGAAAGGGGAATAAAAAAAATGAAAACCTTTAGGAAGGGGTATTTGTTGTTCCAGATGAACGGGTTAGGACCTGTGGGCTGGGGAAGCTCTTCATCAGCAGTGGTCTCTGTGGATTGGTAGCCCTCGCAGGCAGTGAGAGCTTGGAGCCATCCAGAGGAATTGCTGACTGGGAAAGTGTGTGCACACGGGAACTCCCTTTGGCTTGGCACAAATTAATGTTGATCAGCTTTAGCAGAAGAGCAAACCCTCAGGTGGAAAGGCAGTTTGGTTGGGTTGCACTGAGGGCCAGGGCACCATCGGGGCAGGGTCACTTCCCTTCCCCTGGCTGTTGAGGGAACGTTTAATGCATCTGTGATCGTTTTAACTCACACGGGTTATGGTCACCATAAAATGCATTTACAAAGGTGATACAGTGTCTGCCTCTGTCACATTCTTTAAAATTGTGTTTTAGCTAATCACTGAGATAGAAAACATGAGGCACAGAATCATTGAGATTCATCAGGAAATGTTTAACCACAACGAACATGAAGTCAGTAAAAGGTGGACGTTTGAAGAAGCGGTAAGTTTGGTTTCTCTCTGTAAGGCAGCGCGTGCCAGAGTTCTGAACGCAAGGCTGGGAATATGGGGAAAGGCCGTACAATTTAAATTGGTGTGGGGCTTCAAAGATAAGAGTTTCACTTCTCTGCCATTTTTCTTGTGGAAAGGCAGCTTGCAAGGTCAGCTCTCAAGTGATGATTTGAAATTCTTGAAGCAGTATTTGGAGAGAGGCAAGATGGTGTGTGTGTGTTGGTTACTGAGCAGTCTTTAAATACACGTGTGTGAAATACTGTGGGAGTTAGTACTGCCTTGTGCAGCGGGGGTGCTGCAAGATAATGAGGGGCTGGAGGTAATTCTGATGCAAAAGGTAAGCCTGTCCTAGAAGGAGAATGAACTTTGGATGTTGTATTTTAGCATTATACCCTTAAACCTGAAATCAGTTAACTTGTGTTTTCTGAAAGCAGCCATCATAACGTGCAGCTCCTAGGTATTAAAAGTAATTAAACTAATAATGTGATTGCTGTAAATACAGAACTTATTCTGTGTAGAATTCAGTTCAGTTCCTTTTGAAAAAATAACCGCAGTTTTTAATTCTCAGTCTCTTTCTTGTTCTTCCTGGCTAATCCCATATTGCATAACACGGTTCTTCTTGAAATTTACGTTTCTTTTAAAAAGTACATTGAAAATCTGTCCCAACTTTTTAATACGGAGCCTCCTTAGCGGGTTCGGTGATGTCAGACCTGTCGTGTTGCTGTGGCACTGCTGGACTAGGCCGGGCAGCCCGTAAGCCAGCGGGGCTCGGGAAGGGGGTACCCAGCTGGCCCTGGGGC